AGGGTATATATAGCACGTAACTCGATATTGAAAATCATTCAACTCATGACTGGCGGCTGGGTACTATATTTACTTCATGACTGATATAGAGAGGGGATATAGCACATTAATACTCGATATTAAGAATCATTCAAATTGTGACTGGCGACTGAGTGCTATAGTTACTTCATGACTTGATAAAGTGAGTGTATATAGCACATCTTCATGACTTGTTAGGTGAGGGGATATAGCACATAACTCGATATTAAAAATCATTCAATTTTTGACCGGCGACTGAGTGCTATAACTACTTTACGACTGATAAAGTGAGGGGATATAGCATACTACTCGATGTTGAAAATCATTCAACATATGACTGGCGCCACTTCAGGAGCTCTGTATGTCATTAATAGTCTCAGTTTAGATGCCTGCCGCGGGTCTCGGTAGTAAATTTTTTGAGCTGATCTGTACACTTAAGCACCCGAGCTGCTTATAGGCAAATCAGGCGGGTTGTAAGCTTGTGTTAGCTTCTAATATAGTTGATGTTGAAATCGTTTAAATACATCCAAGCGAGTGGTATGGGAAAAACGCACTTTCGAAGGAGTGTAATCGTACATATAAACCCTAAACCCTAAAGTCCTGACCCCTAAACCCTAACTGATTGTGTCGATCTTACTTTGAATGCGAGAAGAGTGTGAAGACGAAGACAGACGTGAAACATATGTATGGATGTGGAGAGGTCCATCACACTCTCATACGTTCACACTACGAAGCCACTATGTCATGCGCAAACGAGGCGACTGAGAGTGACCACAATCACGGACACTCACATGGCGGTGGTAGCTCTGGGGGTGGACATAGCCATGACCATGACTCTGCCGAAAGAGGGTTTGAATACTCGTTGTACAAACACATTGACAGAGAAGGCGTCAAGTGCCTAAATGCGGTTGATGAATCCCAAGCTAAGACTGTGTTTAGACCGTGGAATGAACGAATGCTGAAAAACACGGTGAGCGGATTATACTGTGACTTTAGGCTCTGTATAAAAATGCAGAACCGGCTATGGCTTGTGCTTGACAGGAACTACACGCTTAAATACATGCATACATCATAGTATTGCTTCGATATTCATTCGAATTCATAACGTACGCATACGTATATCAACGCACCCGTGTATATTTCGATATATCTTTTATTGACAAAGATGTGTACGTGAGTCAACCGCCTGCGATATTTACTCGTAATCATCAATCTACTGTTCGACAAATATCGAGACCAACCTCTTC